ACTGTAAAAAATTGCATCAAAATCGGTTAAGAGACACAAAAGTTATTAAAGAAAATGTGTTTTGGCTGGCCTCATATTTGCGGCAGCTAGCGCAAATTGCAAGAATTTCTGAATACATGTACACACACACATTCATTCGCGTCTTCTTTGAATTCTATCAACAGCATTGCAATTGCGATTGTATTGTTTTCTGTGCCGCTATTTTAATCTCTTTTTTCTAAAAAAAAAAACTCAATTATTGGTGTGGCTGTTGAGTAGAGGCAGCAGCAAGTAATGCGGTCCGTTGTGAGTTCACACCCTACCGAGGAGGCTTTTTATTTCAATTTATTTGTATTACCACTAAAGCAAACGAGCGCGTAGCGCGAGGTGCGTTTGATGTTGGAATAAGAGAGTATAGGGTATCCCCTAGTCGGGAGCTCCCGACTAGAACCTCTTACTTGCTACAATATTCAAAGCTTAAATATGGCAACCAAAAGTGTGTATATACCAAAGTACACCCAAAAATTAATGAGCATTACTTGGTGAGGCATTTGTCCTATACGAAAGTTTGCTGTTTGCTTACCAAATTTTGGGTCAGAACTTATAATTGGAAATATGCTGAAAACACCGTTGATATAACCGATTTTGATCGATTTCGTGCCATCGGGCAAAGTCTCTAATCTCTGAGCTCGACACTTTCAAATAGACAAAAAAAAAAAGACGGACAGACACACGGCCGTTGATCAAGCTGATCAAGACTACGTATGTGTACTTCATGGGAACGGAGAAACCTTTACCTGCCTTTTACATCAACCATTTACTATTAGAATAAAATGTCGTTGTTGGGCCGAAGATTAAATACACCTAAATATTCGGATCTACTTTTGTACAAAGTTGTGAAACTTCGAGAATTCTTCAGCTTATTCCTTATAGCATATGTTCCATCTATGGCATATGTCTCAGTCTCTATCTAGATCTGATTTCCATTCTCTTTGGCATTTAGAAAAAGGAACAGGCGATGTTGATGTGCCTGCAAAAGTACTATGCGGCCGCCGAGACACTGAAGGATGCTGTAAAACAATCGGGCGACATCAAAATCTGGATCAGTCTCAATCCCAATCCTGATAATACCACCGAGGTGAGCTCATAGTTTTGTCATACATCATGAAAAATTTACTAAACGCATCTCCGTCTGTTTTCAGGAGAAGACGCAAGTTAATGCCACAATTTCACCCACAAAGACCGCCTATGAGCTGTGCCGCGAGTACTCGGCAAAGATGTGCCTGCCGACGCATCAGTTGACACTGTATGAAGTTATACTTAATGACAGCCTGGAACGGCCCCTGCACCACGACGCCAAGGTGTTCGATGTCATATTGAACTGGTCCTACTGGCCGGAGGAGGATCGCAAGCACAACTATCTGGTGGTGCGACCCATCGAGATGCTGCGCGAGGTGCAGCGCGCTGTCAAGAACCTGGCGACAGTGACGCCTGGCAAGGAGCTACGCTTTGCTGACTACCGCACCAAATCGTTCAAGACGCTGCAGTGCGAGCTGCGCGATGGCAAAATAGTTGTCTCCAAGAAGGACAAGAACGACAAGACGACTATTGTACGGGAGATCTTTCTCCATAGCTCCACAGCGTATTTGGGCTGTGAGCGTAAACGTGACTTCCCCTGGAGCTGGGCCATCACATTCGTTGAGCGTACCCAGGCGCAAATTATGAGGTAGATATTTATCTAGCTGCTCATTTTGCCAAACTCCTCACGTCTTGCCTTTTTGCAGATCACGTGATGCACCTTTCATTGGGCACGTGCTGGCGGGTAGCGAGTGGGTCGATCGCACCATTTGGTATTCGAGCATCTGGTACTGTCTACATGGCGATAACATTTTGCCACCCGCAGAGATTATCATCAAGTGAAGAGCGACAGCAACTGAATAGCCAAGCATCCACTTGTTTGCCAATTTATTCTGCCTGCATTAGCATTTAATTTGTATTCAATCATGATTGCAATTTTTATCTTTCGAAGACATTCTAAATATGTGTGTATAGCATACTTTTTGCGGCAGAATCGATTTTGATGTCTCAGCTTTCGTGTTTTAACTTAACTAAGATGCTATCCGAAAAGTATGCAATATATATATATCTATATTTTTATAGAATTTTAAAAGATAGTTCTAAACATGGCTGATATACTTTTTGTAATATTTTTTTTTGTTTATTTTTTTTATTGTTTGATAGTATAATTTGCAATATCGATTAGCACGTAGGCGCTTAATTTTGTAGATATTTGGAATTAATTTTTAATACTTATGCATAGATAATTTTATACATAAGAGCACACACAAACATACATACACATATTTTATGCATAAGCACTATTTTTTTTTCTGCGACAAAGCATTCAAAATCGATTTTTCACAACGATCGTGAAAGCAAATGAGCCAAACTCGTCAAAAAGTGTTTGCCATTTGTGCAATACGAATAATTATTACGATCCTTTATCAAATTTACTATTTATACTAGAGAAATTTTGTCCTTCAATTCCTACGCACTTCGAATAGCCACCCATACACATTTACTTATCTGAGATCAGATTTTTGGTTTCGGTCCACGGTAAGCGCATTTAGTACATCAAAACTAATTTGGGTCATAATATCAGCAATAAATTAAAGTCCATGCCAGATGTCTTCAATGTAGCTAGTTCCTTTGGGGATTAGAATCTTTCCTGTATGATCTTCATAGTCTAGCAATTCCGTGTGGCTTACAAAAACATTTATAAGTAAAGATCTTGATTTAATCTTTTCATTAATTCTCGGTCTCTTCGACCAGATGCTTGAGGAAGCATTTATATACATATGATTATATATTTGCATATAATTTAACATTTTATCCTAAGTATACATCTTTTTTACCAATAATATATATTTATTTATGTAACTACCAATAAACAACACGATTCTTAAACACTGTAAGCACTTTGGGAGGGCGTAATCACAAAATGTACCGTATATATAAAATTGCCATTGCAACACGATATTAAAAGTAAATAAATTAAACATACTACTAAATTGATTTAATTTATAACCAAAACTAGGATCATTTGGAAATACATAAAGAGAAGTATCCAAATAAAATCTTATATAAGTATAAAAACAGATCCGTCGACATCGTATCTTTTTAGAGAAGAGATAGAATAATTTAATAAAATATGTCGAAATGCGACACACACTTTCGTAATACCTAGCTACTATAGATATTAGAAAGATTTTGTTCTTTTGAAGATACATAGGTGCACAATAAACTGAAGATAAAAATTTATATATAGAAACAGAAAAGGCTAGGTTCGGCACGCCATCGATTAAATACCCTTGCAGAGATTCGGCTTACAGGTTTGTGAAGAGAATAGTGAAGCTCGGACATGCCGATTTTAGACGAATTTTTCCTATAGAGCTATATCATTATAGCAGTGCGATCTTGATAAGATTTGGCTACAAATGTCGGTCTTAGTAAGGCTATTCTGATAAGCAAATAGTTTTTTTAGGCAAGAACTCAGTATTCGACCGATCGCTCCTGTGGCAGCTATATTATATAGTATTCCGATATGCCCGTGTCCGACATATTTACTCTCTGCAACAGATAGACAGACCTATGCCAGGTTGCATGCAGATAGCTTAAAAACTGAGAGAAATTAGTTCGCATTAACAGACGGGAACAAGACATTTCACAACAGTACTAAACGAGCCTTTACGAAGAATTGCAATTATTTTTGTGATTGACTAATGAACGGATCGAAATAAATGAGTCGAATCTTATGAAAACTTTCAGAAACTTTGAAACCCGCTGCAATAACCGGGATGAACGTAAAGTTCCTCGCCCATTCTTCAGGCTACAATGCTTATTGATGTTGAAATAAACATACAAGGCCAATATTCTATGTAATTTTTATAATGAAAAAAGATTTTAGTTTCTAGATTTTAGTATTGAAAAACATTGCCAAAAATATATTGAAATAAGTTGGAAATGTTTTCTTCAGGACAATACGAATAAATTATATAATTAATGCAATTAAGATGCCAAAAGGGTAAATAGAGCTAAAATTTTGGAAGTATGGCTTTGAACTCGATGCAGGGCAGAGTGCTTGATAGGCGGATGGATTGTCAAAGCTTTGGCAATTTATGAGCAAGCGTTAAGTAAAGAATGAAAATGATTGTTGTCATTTGGCTGCAATAGAAGCTTTTCAAGATAAATGATGCGTGCTGTCATAAGCATCTAATTAAACAAGAAACTAAATATGAATAATAATAATAAAATATGGACTATGACTCTGCGCGAAGAAAGAGAGCAGACGGCGCCACGCGCTGTTGGTGCTATCATTTATGGCAGCGGCCGTAAAGCCTATCTGGCTTGTTGGCTCGGTGGCTGGCAAACTGGGCGTGTGGCCCACACTATTTGCTTTTGGCCAAAATGAAGCACTGCGCACAGTATTTGCCATGGGCCATGGCCAAAAATGCTGCTGTCTCACGCTGCGGACCAGCAAGGCCAGCTGCGATGGTTGTCCCGCAGGCGCACACGGCGGGCGCGTGATAAGTGTGGATCCATCGATATGCTACATATACCATATAAGTACAGCGTAGCACATATCTATACATATTTTATATCTTGTTTAGTTATTTTGCATTTGCATTGAGGCGGCTTCCGTACAGGATGGCCTCGTTAGCGCCTACGCCGCCGGCATGCCGAGCGGGACATCTATTTATTTGGGTGCCAAGCGCGACGACTGTAAAATGCTGAGTGGCAATCGGATAGGAATTGGAATTGGAATTAAAATTTAAATCGAAATCGGAATCGAAATCAGTGGCAATTAAACGCTAAATGGGTCTGGGCTGTTTGGCAATTAGGCCGATAGACGCTGCGATAAATACGCTTGCATTCAAATCTAATTGGCCTCCAATTAGCCGCGGCAGCTAAATGGGCTATAAATTTGTTGCATCTGCTGCATCTGCAACACAGCAGCAACTGTGTGTGTCCAAATGTCACGACTGCCCCACATCGTCTACCTGCTGGCAGCTCTGCTGCTGCATGGCGCTGAGGTGAGTTTGTCCCTACCCCTCACAAAGTCAAGAACTCCTTGTGTTCGTTCTCTTCTTGCAGACCGCTGACTACAATGTTTTCCTTGATGAGCAGTTGATCCAGGAGTCCTGCGGCAGCACGGAGGGCAAGGGCAATATGGCATTGAGTGAGCTAGTGGAAACCCGCCTCACGACTGTCCTCGACAGTGACTACGAAACGCTTTACATAAGCGGCGACATTATCGTAAAACAGGCACTGCCACACGTACCCATTAAATTCGAGGTGGATGTCAGCCGCTGGGAGCGTGGTCAGTGGGTGCCCACATTTGTGACCCTAAAGCGTGACGACTTTTGCAAGTCCCTTAAGGATCCATTTGAGCTCTGGCACCTATACTATATAACACAGATACCCAGGCAGCAGCGCACATGTCCGCCACATCAAGGCGTAAGTGTTTCATCTGTTAATCCCCATTCAAATCCAATTATTTGTACAGCATTTTGAGTGACCCGCATTGATAAGTCTTGGGTGGACCCAAAAATGCACTAACAGTGCAAATTCATGTTGTCATGTCCTTTTTGATTTCTGAATTCCAATGTGTGCATATAGAAGAATAGCCTTGAATATACTGGCAGTATAAGCTGAAAAGCAAGATACCTTAACAAGCGACAGTTTTCGATCTTAAGCACATCTGGAAACTATAGCTTTGATCGTGTTGCAAGACCTTGAGCCTTACATATTCTCAATACTTGGGAAAAGTGCAGAAGAGTTAGAACAATTTCATAGTCCAGTAAAAAACAAAGTCATTAAAAAAATGATATATAATAATTATAATAACCTTCACATTTATTTTGTGTTCGATCTTTACGGGGATTGACGCTTAGCCCCTTGAGCTGGTTATAATAATATTAATAATGCGAATAATGATAATAATTTTAACAATAATCTTAATAATTTTTCTTTCCCTTTCAGCAAGTTTACAGCTTTACAAACGTTTCCAATCGCATGCTAGTGGAAAATATGCCCCGTTGGGACATCGTGGGAAATCTGAGGGCCGTGGTGCACTTCAGTGCCGGTGATATGAAGACCTGTCTGCTGATCTACTGCACAGTTAGCTTGGCCTGAAGACCCTAATAATGTCATCTGAATATTGACCATATACACAGATGCTAACTTATATCAGCGGATATTCTTGAACTGTTGCTGTTGTGTGTGCTCTATATATAGATTTTTGAATGTGCTCCATTTTGTGGCTGGCATCCCCGTTGGCAGTTTATTTGATCTTTTCACTGATTTAATGGGCCGTATTATTCTTATATCTAAATTAAATGCAAATAAACAAGTTTCCATATTCATGCACAAAAATGTCGCGTAATTTGCCACCCAAAGTTCTCATTAGGCCGTTGTGCACTTGATAAGCGAAATATCTACATATTCGTAATCCCAGCTCCCGTAATCCCCATTGCTATTTACCGACGGCTCAAAGTCAGCGCCATTTCAGCAACTGAACTCATTCTTATTTCTCATCCGTTGGCGCGTGATGCCCAAACACCCGGAGAATTTATGACACTCGGTAATATATTGTAGCAGCTCGCACTTGTTCTCTTCTGCGGATTCCCTGGCCCACTATCTGGGTGTATCTCACGTGGTCGAGTTGCCATTGGCATTGGTATACATTAATTGTAAGACCTACTCGCTTCATTTTGCTACAGTTGTCATGAAAATCCAATGAAAGGCCACTTTACACTATGCACCAGCCAAAATGCGAGTTGGCAGAACAAAAATCATTTTCAAACAGTTTTCTATGGTACACTCATTTTTAAATGATAAGAAGCCTTTGCTTATCAAATTTAAATTGCGATTCTTAAAGCCGCTTTTTAAATATAAGCTAATGCGAAAGTAATTGTTAATTATCGTGCATAAAATGTGAAAAATATTACACATCATTTTAATTTCAGTAAGTCTGAAGTCAAAAAAGCTAGCATTGGCCAACATTTTTCAGGCAAGTTTTCTTTCAAGATCAGCGCTTAAATATTTAAATATAAATATAAAACTGAAACAAATTTTGAAAGAACTTATTTGTATACCTTTTTCAAAGCTTTTCTTTATTAATTATATTGGTTATGCAATACGCAACTTATGATCAAATAAATGCCAATCTCTCATCTCCTACAAAAGAAACCTATTCAAAACTTTGAAGTTGCCATTTGGGGCTCCTTTGTAATCGGGTAAGATCGCATTCCTTATGTTAAAATTGAATTTTGTGAGACAGTGTTACCAGAGTATATTAAGTAAATAAGTTTGTTTAAGCTCTATGAGATATGGGTATTCATATATATGTATATAGTATATGTATAAATAAGTATGGATGTGTATAGCTAAAGGTAAGCTTACGATCATAATCACATATATTAAGGACTTCATTGTTAAATATTGCACTTGGCAAGGTAGCCCACGCACAACCGTACAATTGAATGATGTAATCGACTAAGATATACCCTGTACTCAGGTTTAAATATGTATTAAAAAGAATTTGCAGCGATGTGTACATATTATTAAGTTGACTATAAGCTACCCTGTAGCCAGGTAATAAGAAGATTAACATATAAATCAATCAATAGATTTTCATAATGCAATCAAAATATAAACACTTTGAAAATTGTATTTTTTATTTAAGGTTAAAGAAAACAAATTATGGGACTAGGGCTGCATTAGTATATCTAGATGATATAATCTAGACGATTAAAAAGCACAACAATTTAAATTAAGTATTTCAACGAAATGTGACTTGAGACTCGCTTTGTTTACTTTGTTTGCCTCTCAAGCCTTGCGGCATTATGCGACTGGATTCCGATTAAGAATATTTATAATTAACTTCCTCTTACTGTTACATACATTGTCACAACTCTATAATAATCCATTATACTGAGTTTTTGATTAAAGGGTATGTGTAATTACCAGTTACACGTGAGTATTCGCTATTCACAGTTGCCTCTATGATAACACAGTTATTTGAGCATTGAGTTTTGTAGCTGAATATCTGAAATTAGTAATTTAATCAAGTGGTATAGCTACCTGATATTCATAAATATAAGTATATATTAAGGAGAGTGTATGGCGCACTTATCGCATTATCTGTTTCGTAATATTAACTAACTAAGCAAATAGTTGAGGCTCCCAAATTTAATACTCAACAAATAACGGCATTTAAATGTACTTAGTTATTTGTATATGTATGTATATACACATATACATATATTGTAAATATCAATTAAATCTAGACGGACAATTCATGAGTGTTTCGCTTACATGACGTTCTATCTCTTCACAGTCTATACCCTAGACATTTTACTCGATATATTTGTGCCGAAAAAATTACAATATTCAATAGCTAGCGGGTATTACCCGGCCTTGCCCGTCGCACGTATAAAGTAAATGTTCTCAAAAAGCTTTGAAAATGACTTTGAAACTGATCAGACGGTAAACAAAAAACTTTCATACAAACGTTTTTCGCTTATTTACCACTGTTGCGGGTGTACGTGTCCCAAATCGTTGAAACACGTACACATTAAGTCCTTATGTAGAGCTTTGAAAATAAGTTTGAAGCAAATCGGACATAACTTAAAACTTCATCAAACAAATCTTTGACTCGCACTTTCTACCGAGGAAGCTTTGATTTTGGGAAAAATGTGATTTTTCCTATAGATCTTTGGATATGAATTTGAGCGCACCAAATCTTTGACCCCCATTTCCACCAAGTAGGAGTGGATTTTTCGAAAAGTGTGAAACACCCCTCCAATGAATTTGAACAAAGATCTTTGAAAATGAGTTTGAAGCCGATCGGATGCTAAACAAAAAAGTTTCATACAAACGTTTTCCGCAATTTTTCCACACTTTCGGGTGGAATTTCCCGAAACCCCGTCTCAACGTGCATCTTCATCACCTAAAGTAACTACAGGGAAAATTTCAGCTTCCCAGCTTTTACTGATTATAGGCTAAAATGTTTGATTCGCTAAGATTTATGAAACTACGCACTCAATTTTGAGGGCTCACACAAGCTCTAGAGGTCGTCAGTCGATAGAGTCATGACTGTTGTGGAAAAACACGCCCATATCAGACGTAATGCAGACTAAAGCCATCAAACTCTTTAGTTAAGAAAGAAACCACAGATATAAATTTTTCCAGTCTTTTATGATGGTATAGTCGAGGATATTTTCGATATTTAGATTGGGAACTGACGAGAGTACAAACATAAATGAGTTTTTAGTGGCCCACCATAATATTATTGGTATTAATAATAGGGTATTTGTGGCATATTTATGCTCTGATCAATTCTTCGCCCTAAACATTATAGCAACCCGAGCTGTCTTATCGAATTGATACCTAGTCAGTTCTATGAAGGGGATAAGAGGGTAATACAGCCCGAAGTTGTCTGTGATTGTACAGCTGACACACGTTCAGGTCGGAGAGATCGTATCGCTGGAGGTGTCGAAGGTGTGATGGATGTTGTGGCCTGGCCAGTCGGTGGGTTGTTCGTGGATGCAAATATAAACAGTTTACAGACATTTATGTGACTTTATAGTCGTACAGTATAGCACTATATAGTTTCGTATGCTGGTTGGTAAAATAATAATACTAATAATAGAGACAGTTGTGAGCTGCTCCGTGTTTACATCATAAATACTTATTAACTACTTATTTGCTTGCCGCTCGACTTGCAAGCGCTTCAAACTGGTCGTGACCTGTTATTTGCGGACTTGGCTTCAAATACAATAACATACAGAATACCTATACACCCATTATAAATATTTAATACAGTCCAACTTTCCTATAACAAACGTCGCCCTACTATTTAGCTTGTTTTAAATATTTATACGAAAGATTTTCGTTTTGCTTCATCTGCTCTGCAATATTTCTTTTACCTATGCGAGATTAATATATTTGTCATAGATATAAAATGAGAAAGTGTTTAAGTGACCTGCTTAAATGTTAACTTTATCTTAAGCCGATCGGCTTGAGGTCAATGTTAGCTATAAGAACTAACCACAAAAAGGAATAAACACCAGGAGTAAACAGGTTGTCTGCATGGCTTTTTTAAGAATCTTATGTCAGCAGACTTTGCTAAAATAAATTTAATAATAATAATAATAAAATGTCATAAGTAAACAGGTTGTGTGTCGACAGCTCAGCCAAAGCCCATATTTAAGAACACATATAACACAAAAGATGGGATAAAATAAAGGAGATATTCGGTCAAATCACGAATAATACACGTAGATATGCATATAAAACTTATCTTATATGAGTTTGCATTCCTCGTACAAGGATTATTTATGTAGCTCTAATTAGGCGAGAGATCAACGAGGATCCGGGCTCAAATCCCACTTATGAATGAGCTGTTAATGGAAATTCTTTTTATTTGTGCTGCCTTTTGGAAAGGCAGGCCTTTTGCGTGCGCAAAATTTGGGGACGGAATAAGCATACAGACTGCGAATTATATCACGCAACTTGGAAATCATCCCAATCGACTGGCTAGGCGTCTTCCAGAGAGACGTAAGATGTGAGGAGTGCGAATGCGGAGGAGATTGCGGAGATCTCAACCAATCGTTCCGTCAGATCGGTTAATATAACCAAACTGTTTTTGTTCATTTTATTATGTTAGACTTAACTGTAGAATAAGTTGTACAGCATTGATTCATCTTAATTTAATTTATGTTGTTCCTCAAATAACAGTAAAATTATAAATAAAACAAATTAAAAAAAATAAATAAATTTTTAAAGTTAAAATTGCGTTCAAAATTGAGTCAAAAAAAAATTATATTATTTTTGTAAGAACGAATTCTAGAGCTTAAAGCTCATAGTTTTTAACAAGTTTCAATTGAAAACCACCTGATAATAATAAATGTCCTATTGACACGACGAGTTCGTTATTGTGGGCCTTGCCTGTAGGTTAGCGTAAACTAAGGTGTACTTAAAAGGTATTCATATTCAGAGTGGTCATTTGATTGCCTTGACGGACCCGTTGCGTGTGCAACGAAAAGTGTTTCTCAGCACAGGATGCGAGTTACACTAACTGTGACAGTTGAGAAACTACAGTTTTAAATATGGGTGTCGTACTGCCGTTAACTGTTTTCCCAGAGCTTTTCAGTGCATTGTCGCGAAGGCTTTTCCAGTGCACTTCCTTTGTTGATAATTTGCTAGCCGCTTTGTATATCACTCATACGTCACGTTGGCCCTGCCACGTAAATTGCATGAATTAGGCATCTTATTTATCGCATTTATATAACTGTATAAAGCACAAGCATACACACCCACACCCACACGCACACACACACTCACACAT